TGGCCTCTATCATTGTTGTATTTGTTGTACCTTTTTCATCAATACAATCTTCTTTTTTTGCCAATTAAAAAAAAGAACATAAAAATCAACCACATGTAACAATTTAATTTTTGTTAAATTTCGATTTGCTGCAAATGAGAGATTCACAAAAGGCCTTAAGGTAGTATTTGGTTTGGGAGATTGAGTTTTAGAGTATTCTTTGACCTCCCTGACCATTTTCCTAAATTAATGAGTGGTACTTCGTTTCCAATGTAAAGTCTTTTCATTTTTACCAAACTAAACATAAAATTGGATATTACGATGAAATAACCATTCAATTTCAACTTCATTCTCGTAAACTAGACCACTACACAAGGGGTTTATAGAAATTTGTAAAATGCTATCTGGGGAATAAGTGAAAAGGGTGAGCGGGTTTGCTCTACAAATGCATCTTACTAACCTTTTATTGCAAAACCTATCATATTGATCACTCATCTTCTAATAATACTCAAACAATTATAAAAAAAAAATATTCACCTTCTAAAAAAGAAATTAAAATTAAAATGAATCTAATCCACCAGCAACTGTGTTGTCTTTCTAGTGCATGCAATAGCATGAATTTCCATATTATTGTTGACACCAAACAATAATTGTCAATCGACTATGGCTTATCTATTATGGCCAAGTCTCGTTAATTGATTGTAACTTGTCAATTATGGCCAATCTAACTTCATTCATTGTGACCTGTCGATTTTGATCGGTCAATTCAGATCATAATCATCTTCAAAAATTTACTATGGTCATAATTATATTATTATTATTATTATTATTATTATTATTATTGCTAGTAGTGTTTTAAGCTTGCGTGGGAGGAAAATGACAACGTGGATCATAGTATCATGGCTCCGGAACATGGGATTTGGAAACTAAAGGAGGTGATTCGAAGAATAGTGGGCCATAGCACCAAGGAAAGAAAAGTGGAACATGGGGAGGCACTCCTTGGTGACAAGTTGAAAGGTGAACATGTGGGACTTTATGCTAAGAATGTGGATTGATTCAAGGAACTATGCGTTGGTTTTTCATTTATTGAATAACTGTTTTGAAGAACTGCTTTGGGCAGTTTTCATTTGAAAATATGCCTATAAAAGACCAAGGGAGATACAAGAGAAGGGTCTTTAACAAAATTCACAATTCATGTGAAATCCAGAAGTAGTCTATCTTAATTTAGGAGTAATTCATCTGTAATTTAGCGTTTGTATACAGTTTGGCCCTGTCGATTATAATCATTTTTAGATTTGTAATTTAATTCTTGAAATTAAGTGATAAGTTTGAGCGTTATTCAACCGAATTTCATTTTGTTTGCATTTGTTTTTTCACATAATAACCTTCAAAAAAGTCTTTCAATCTGTCAAGGCATAAGACATCAACCACATTACTTGATCAGTTTGTTTATTTGTAAAAATTAATTTTCCTATCAACTCTTCCTTATCTGTTTGATCCAAATCAAATTTTTACTAACAATTACCATAACCTTTTGTTACATTAGGAACAAAAAAAAAAAAAAAAAAAAGATGCTACAAATACATTTCAGAAAAAAAAAAAAAAAAAAAAGAAAATTCCTTGTAGACAAGTAGGCTTAAACGTACTTAACGTACTAACTAGTACGTTTATAAACACCTGACATAGTCAATAATTCTCCTTATAGGCTCAAAAGTACTAAACAAGTACTACTACTGACATATAGTTAATAGTTGAAAGCAACGTCATTAATTAAGAATGATGCACCAATAACTTTCAGCAAGTCAAGAGTTATATTGGGTCTTTATGAGTTGAATGTGATAGGGTGGAGGTGCTTAGCAGCACTGTTGTTTGCAGGGGCTGCAGGATTCTTGGACTGTTTCTGGTGTTTGTTTGTGTTTGATTGCTGGTAGTTCTGTTTGGTGCCTTGAGATGATTGTGTTTTTCTTGTTCATTGGTTTGGTTTCCCCCCAACCCTTTGGCTTGAGCTAGTATATGGTAGGATGTTTCTCGTAATGTCAACATAATTGGGATAAAGAAAAGTTTTGTGATGCTTTTTGCCCTTTCCTTTCGCTTTATTGATGTTATTCATATTTTATATATGTTTGACGTTATTAATAAAGTTTTTTTTGTCGACAAAAAAAAAATTGCAAGTCTCTTAAAAACTCCTATGCAAAAGAAAAATTATTAGTTGGTCTTGGGGCGCCATGTGACCATACTCTACACCAATCACAATTCATTATATCCTCTCATATTCCTCAATCACTCAACACAAATTCATGAGCTTTATTCTCTACCAATCACAACACCATTGGGGCACCACGTAACAGTGCCCCAAAGACTAACTAATAACTTCTCCATGCAAACAGAGAAGTTATTGATTGGTCAAGAAGCAGTGCCATGTGGCGCTCCACATGCATTGTAATTGGTGGAAGTGATGGAGTTCATAATTTTGTATTAGATAATTTAAAAACATAAAAAAACATAAACATTTATAATTGACCTATAACTACAGGACGCTTCATGACAAACTAATAATTTTTCATTCAAACAACCTCTACCCCAGTTCAACAAAAGTAATAACAATCAAATGAAATAAGATGGGAAAGCAATTGAACCACGTGCGTGGCATTGACAACTAAATATATGCATGGAAGGCAACAACCAAAGCAAAATAAAGTGAAAAAGATAGTAGTCTAAATTTTTGTTGTTGTTGTTGGGTGTTGCTATGCCTGGAGTCTTGAAAAATCGTTTTTTTGTTTTTTTAAAAAAAGATTGGGTTTGCTATTTGGGCCTATTGGTTCTACTTTTGAGTCCCGTTTCGATAATTTAAATTATTCATATTTTAAGATTCATCGAGTATATTATTCTTGCAAAAAATCAAGTCAATTTTTTTTTTTTGTGATCAGCAAACAAAAGAGGATTATATATAATGAACACAAATATATCAGGAACATAGCTATTGAAACCAAACAAACTTGGCACCAATGAGCTAGCCCAATCAAGTCAATTTGATAACAATAATCACGTGTTCAGATTAGTTTTGTACGAACCGTTTATTTTCTTACCATTTATTTATTTTTTCATAATAAACTGATTCGAGCACGTGGTTGCCATTATCTGATTGACTTGATTTTTTGTAAGGATGATTTACTCAACGAATTCCAAAACGTGTACGGTTTGAATTATTAAAAAGGGTCCAAAAATGGATTCAAGAGGCCTAACAACACCTCTCTAATCTGATTAAGGACTTGAGAGAAGTCCGGTCCTTAAAAAAATCTCCATTTTTTTAGTGGTGAGAATACTTTAATCGAGTTAAGGTCAATAGATTTTTTTAAGTGGTGAGAATGCTTTAATCGAGCTAAGGTCAATTAAGAAAAGGGACAAAGGGCAATTTCATGAATCACCACATAATTTGACTTCTAAATTTGAATAAGAATTTGTTTTGCCAAGTCTCAAAGAATGCAAGACTCGTCATCTATATGATGATTTTTTAGGTCAAATGTATCACAAGATTGTTATTAGTTGCTATCAGCCTACTTCGAACCCTAAATCTTAACCATAAAACAAAAAGCTAACTCTTTTAGAACTTTCATGCATAATATTTCAAATAGAATTAGTTTTTCACCAATCAATATTTGTTACCATTTTATTTCACTACATGTATATGGCAAGATATGATAAATATTTCACTACATTTATCACTAGTCAATTTTTCTTTTGCTAATCAAAAAAAAAAAAAAAAAAAAAAATACAATATGACAAGATATATGTTTTTCTTATTTATTTATATTTTTTTCAAATGTGGAATCAATCACAAACATTCAACAAAGTAGAAACACAAAAAAATGGTAAAATCTAGTGACATAATATTTGTGTTTAGATTTTTCAGCTTTAGTCCCCAAAATGCATTGACCAAGTGCCGTATGTCAATTTATTAAAAAAAAAAAAATACAATTTACAAAAAATCAATGAAAAGGCTGGTGATACGATAAGTTAGGGTGAACAAAATCAGATTATAAGATTACTACCAAAATAATGGAATGAAAATTCAATCCTACCAGTTGACAAGAGGATAGTTCTTGGTAATTTCAAAAAAGTTACTGGCGTTGCCTAATTTAGGACACGTCTAGTTATATTTGGTATTTACTTGGCTGTCAAGACCAAATAATTTAGCCAAGTGTCTGAATTTCCTCTTCCTCATACAAACTTGCCCTTTTCTTACCAACATAAAAAATCTCTTGATTGAAAATTTACTCCCCAAATTTCCTCCCAAAATATTTCATCTCTCCTCTTTCTCTGATATTTTCTATCAGTTTCAGCATCATGTTTTTAAAACCCTACTTAGCCTTGCTCCCAAGTTCCAACCCATGTTGAATGTTTCAACTTTCAACCCATAAAGACTTCATCACAAGTCTGCCTTCAGTATTCTCAGGTCTCCAATATTTCAGATTGCTAGATAGATACATTTTTATTATTTTTCTATGTATATTCATCTCATGTGTTGTTTATGGAGTATATATTTAATGTGAGCAGCAGAGGAGATATCTGGGTGTGTGGAGATACAGGGGTTTTATTGCCTGGTATCATCTGGTGCATCAATTGGTTTGTAGACGCAGGGGTGGTGAGAAGATGTATCAAATGATAATTGGGTTGCTATCTTTGATGGTCTGTTGCTTGTCACTAGACAATGGAAATTCGTAGTGGTTGATGTCAGAAGAGAGTTGATGGGAGTGATGATTTTGTGTTTTTTATTGATGTTATATCATTCGTCTTGTACTTTGATTTTTATCAATAAATTTTTTACCCACAGAAACTTTTTTTTATCAGTAAAAAAAATTGGAATGTATATTTGGAAAAAAAAAAAAAACTGTTTAATGTATTATTTTATAGTTCATGTCTATTTATTACATCAATTAATTGTTTTTCTCAATTTTTTGTTTGTTCGTTTGTTTATTTTCTATTGATTTCAAACTAGGACCACATTTTTCAACAGGCTGACAATGGAAGAAGAGATGTTTAGTACGATTGAGGATGTCAAAATGAATGTGATTGTGGAGATTTCTGATCGGATCAGCCCCAGTCATCCAAAAAATGACAATATTGATTTCCCATCAAAATTCAAAGGTGTTGTGCCACAGCCAAACGGGCATTGGGGGGCACAAATCTATGCCAACCACCAAAGGGTTTGGCTAGGGACCTTCAAATCTGAGATTGATGCTGCAATGGCCTATGACAGTGCATCCATCAAGCTTCGTACAGGTGACAACCACAGAAACTTTTCATGGACCAATATCACTGTTCATGAGCCTAAATTTCAAAGCTTTCATAGTACAGAAGCAATATTGAACATGATCAGAGATGGATCCTATCCATCCAAATTTTCAGATTTTATGAGGAGCCAAACGGGGGAACATGAAATAGGTCACAACCTAATGAGGATGCATGACCATGCAGGCTTTTCTTGTAAGTTACTTTTTCAAAAAGAACTCACACCAAGTGATGTAAGTAAGCTAAATAGGCTTGTTGTCCCAAAGAAATATGCAGTTAAGTACTTCCCTCCCATTGTTGAAAACACCGAAGAAAACACGGATGGTGGGAAGGTAGATGAGGTGCATCTCTTTTTCTATGATAGGTCGATGAGTTTGTGGAAATTTCGGTATTGTTACTGGAAAAGTAGCCAGAGTTTTGTCTTCACAAAGGGTTGGAATAGATTTGTGAAGGAAAAGGAATTAAAAGCAAATGATATCATTGCTTTCTACATATGTGAGGGTCAAGAAAAAGCGAAAGAAGCTCAGGCTTTCTATGTAATCGATATAGGGTACAACGGGGGCGCAAGAACTGATAGGGTGGTTGAGGGGATTGGCCAGAATGTTGATATGCAAGTAGATCTATGTCACGGGTTGGGACAATATTTTGACTGTAGGTTATTTAGGGAAGAGAAAGAAGAGTTTGGGGATCAGAAGGTGATTACAGGACTGGTGGAAGCACCAAATGTGAAGAAAAGTGTAAGACTTTTTGGTGTTGACATCAATTGAGTCAATTTTTTTTGTAGGGCCATTCCTTTTTTCTTTTTATTGTTCCATGGTTATAGTCCTTAATATGTTTGATGATTCATGTCAAGATTTTGGAGCAATTTTCAGACTATATCTAAGGTTAATGTTGGAATTGTTAGAAGCAGAGTTTTGGTGTGTTTTGTGCACACATTTATACGCAACTTATGATTAATAGTGAAGTCAATGTTTTTGATTAATAGTGAACTCGTTTTGTTTGAAAATGAATTACACATTATGCATTTTATCAAATACAAGTCTTCTATATGAAACCCTAATGCATCATAAAGAACATCTATTCATGTGTCTTCATGTGAAATTAAACGAAAATCCAACTAATAAACTAATATCTGGTTCTTTGTGACATTAACTAAACCACATTAGGCAACATAAATTTCATGTCTTATGTGTGTGCTTTTATCAACTCAAAATTACTAGTATTGAATAAAGAATTTATGATTATGCCTCACAGTACACTAAGCAAACACATCTCAAGTTCATGCAAAAATTGATTTCATTCGATTAACCTGCTTGTCTCTTTTTCTTTTTTTTTCTTCTTTTGATCAGCAAAAATAATTCCATTGATGAAGCAACAAGGTACAAATACATTAATTCAACGCACTATGTCTTGATTTAGTAGCTGATCATTAACTCTGGGTCTTGATTTAGTAGCCGATCATGATTAGTCTTGTTTTGGGTGCCAACTTAGTTAGGATGCTTAACTTTGACAATGATGCAATTTTCTTTCCAAGCTATGTGTTCCTTTTTCGTTATAATAAAATTTGTTTTCTTAGCGGCTCAAAAAAAAAAAAAAAAAAAGTCTGGGTCTTATTGGAGATTATTTAGTAGCCCTCAATTTTTATTTTTTACTTTTGAGGTTTTTTTCTTCATTTGACACCTTGAGGAAGCTAAATTTGTCTAAAAGGCTGTATGCATATATTGCTATTCTTAATTTGGCTGCTTTGAAGATTGTTTTGTTCAGCTTTAATTTGGCTGTTTTGTTCTCTCCAATGGCTGCAACTAGATTGTTTTGTTCACTGCAATGGCTGCAACTCAGCATCTCAGAGTGGTGGCAATCAGCTCATTGGCTGCAACTAGTTTGTTTTGTTCATTGTAGTTGGGATCAGTTGTTGTTTTTATTTTGTTTTGTTTTGCTTTGTGTGCTGGTTTCTCACCAGCTTGGTGCTTGGAGCTTGAACTAGTTTCAAACTCCTCTTTATTGATATATTCTATCATACTTTGTATGTTTCTTATCAATAAAGATTTATTTTGCCGATCAATATATATATATTGCTATTCTTAAGATTTCAAGTATGCTAGCTCCAACCAAAAAAACAAAAGCTTCAAGTGTACTATATTTATGGATACTAAGTTGTGTCATGCATATATACTATTTTTAGTGCTTGTAGTATGCCAAATTTATCACTACCAAGCTGTATCATATGCATATATGCTATTTTTAAAGCTTCAAGTATATTTTTTTTGATCAGCAAAAAAGTTTTATTGATAACCACGAAGTAATACAGAGTGATATAAAGTGATAGAAAAGCTTCAAGTATATTTATCAATACAAGCTATCTTAAAAGTACACCTAAGATTCTTTTGTGCCGAGAATTATTTAATTCTACTAATTTAGGCAAAGAAAAAGTTTGTAATGCACTATAATTTTTTACCTTTGTATATTTGAAAAAGTGTGTGTGAAGGTGGACTTGTATTTTTCTAGTTTTATTAATTCGGTCTCCAATAGTTCCAATTGATTCGATTTTGCCCATAAATTTTGCAATTTGTTTCAATTTGGTCCAATCAATAATGCATTTTGTGATTTTTTTTAATAGAAATTGCGCATGTCATGTGGCTTATGTTGAGTGGCAAAATGGTCAATTCAACGATGCTCCCTATAAAAGGAGAAGGAGGAAGAGGAGGTAGTGGAGGTGGAGGGGAAGGGGGATCACCTTTCTTTCGGAATCATGGTGAAGTAAAAATGTGTTTAAAAGCTACATTTATGCTGACCTAAGTTATATCAATTGAATAAGAAACAAAGGATAAAAATGGAAAAATATTAAAAGTTGAAAACCATTTTTATCCTTTATTTTCTTAATTGTTTTTATGTTACGCAACCATAGGGTAGAAACATGAGTAGCAATGATTATAATCTATGTTAAAATTTAATATTGAACAAGACAATTACCAAGGCCTCCCTTGCTGATACATTTGGCTCTGGTGCTCCGTAGTTGCACTTTTGGTACCTCTCAAGCGTTTTGAGCATGCTGGACATAAACTTAAAATATTTAGTAGGAGAGACAAAGACCTATTTCAAAAAGAAAAAAAGGAGATATAAATTCAAATAAAGAACAACTGATCATTCCAAAGAATTATCAACAAAAAAATTGCCCATAAACTTAAAATGTTTAGTAGGAGAGACAAAGACCAATTTCAAAAAGAAAAAAAGAAGATATAAATTCAAATGAAAAATGAGCGATCATTCCAAAGAATTATCAACCAAAAAAATTGCCCACGTTATTAAAGGATTTTTTAAATTTAGGTTTATTTTATTCTTTGTTAGGGTTCTACATAGGAAAGTCCCTAAGATATTATTTTTACAATAGACTTGAAATCCACAATACAACTCCTTTACAAAAAGGTTGACAAATTCCACATCCAAACAGACTATTTTTGGAACACACCGCTAACATGACTGGAACCATTAGTTTGCATTTTTGTGTTTTTTTGTTTTGGATAGTCATTAGTTTGCATTTCTCTTTGGTTTGAGAGAGTAGGGCTTGTAAAGAAGTGCTAACACATTCAATGCATACGCGTGTAGACAAGGCGCACACATTTAAAAGGATATGAGATGATGTGAAATAGTAATTTGCAGAAATTTATATTTTTAAATAAATAAATGAAGCATCCTTTCTTTCACACTGATATATAGGATATGGTCATTTAGTCATAAAAATCAGATTATTTCACTAGAAGTGATGCAGTGGGAAATGCAAAATAAAGAAAATAAGGTAATGTTCTTTGAGTCTGTTGTTTCAATGATAAATACTGGAAGCAATATCCTTCTCTAGATTCGTTAATTTACAAAGAACATCAATAATAAAGGCTTAACAATTGATGATTCTCAAAAAAATAACCAAGATTAGAATAAAATAGGATAAATTTAAAATTTTATTGATCAGTCTTAAGGCTTACAATAATCATTTATAATGAAAGCAAACCTAATATGGTAGGAAACAATTGGAATTGTCAATTACTTAACTAGAAAAGTAGAAATAAGAACGAAAATGATCAAAATGGAAATATTGAAACAAAAATAAAAATAAACTAATAGTTTAGGCAGCTATGATAATAGCATATTCAACATAATCGAATTCTAACTTCTAAGTTAAGAATAATTAAAGTTACAACTTTTTAAAAGCAACAAAATCTCAAAATTGAGCGCCTAAATAATGAAACTCACAAAAAATTCATCGGTGTCCATGGCAAAGCGATGAATCCTAATTACAACAACATTCTCCATCAACATACCAAATTTTATACCATATTGAATATGTGCCGTTTGATTCCAACTAGCATTTTTTGTCTTTATTTGGCCAAATGTGTATCTATTTGGTTTTAAAATGGGTAAATTATACTAACAGTCTATATAGTTTAGGATTTATGTCATTTTAATTCTTGACTTTTCAATTGTCACACATTTAATCCTTAATTTTGAATCTCGTTTCAAATAAGGACAATTGAAAATATCATTGTACAATTTCATCCTTAATTTTGAATCTCGTTTCAAATAAGGACAATTGAAAATATCATTGTACAATTTCAAGAGCAAAGTCGTTAATTTGATAAAATATAAACTAATTTGACAAAAATAAATATCAAAAAATTATTTTTGAATTTTTAAAATTATTTCTACTCACCAAAAATAAAATTATATCAAATTGATAAATCTTTTACATATTTATTTATTTATTTTTACCAAATTAATTTTTAATATATATTTAGATGATGATTATGTAATAGTTGGTTGTTTTTATTTTCGTTAAATTAATTTCTATTTTTTCAAAAGTCAAATACGACAACAAATTTGATATCATTACTAAATCAATCCATTAAATTAAAAAATTCAAAACTAAAAACATTTCATATATTAGATATATCAATTACACATTAAAAACCTAATTTTTTTTTTATTAGCAAAACAAAAACTTTATTGATGAAGAAAGCATAATACATGCAAAATTACATCAACAAAGCATGGAAGTGCAGAAAGCATCATAGTTAAATTTAACAATCCCAACTAGATTGGCACTATAAAGGAAGCACAATAACCATCTATTACATGATAATCATCCAAAAATATTTATTAACAACAAATATAACCATTTATTACATGATAACTATCTATTAAAAGCTTAACAATCATCTATTACATGATAATTATTAAAAAATATATGTTAACAACAAATATAACAATTTATTACATGATAACCATCGAAAATCATCAACAAAAACAACCCTCTATTATATTTTTTTTGATAAGCCAAAGGAAACAACTTTATTGACATCAAAAAACGGATTACATCAATAAAGCAAAGGCGAAGAGCATCGAGCATCATAGTATTACCCTTCATCCCAACTAGGTTGACACCAAGAGCAACACCCAATCATCTATTATATGATTATCATCCAAACACATACTAACAATTAATTTGGCAAAAAAAATAAATAAATGTGTAAAAGATTTATCAATTTTACATAATTTTATATTTAGTGAGCAGAAATAATTTTAAAAAAATTAAAATATTGTCCTTGTTTAGAACAAGATCCAAAATTCAAATTCAAATGTATTACAATTAAAAAATTAAAGATCAAAATAACACGAATCCTAAATTATAGGGACTGTTAATATAATTCACCCTTTAAAAATTGTATAACCAAGAACGCAGCATCAAGAAACAACTCTTAAACACAAAATAATATCTCAATAATGTCGTATTTGTTTTACCAGTAGCAACTCTTAAGCAGAAAATATATCAAATTGTTGTGCTGCCCTTGTATCAATAATCTCTCATTTTTTAAAAAAATTCTTTTTTACTGATCAAAACAAATATAATAGTTTTGTTTGGCATAATCTATTTTAGCCCATCTTTTTATCTTTTTTGAGTCACATCAATCAATATCTCCTCTCTATTTTTTTACACATCTTTTTATAAAAAATCAAAAAGTGCACTTACCACTTTTTCATTGATTAAAAATTTTAATTAAAAAAATGTTTAAATTTTTTTTTTAAAAATAGAAGTAGAACAACTACAAACAGAATCATATGCAATCAGAAATATATATATACACCACTAATATAAATTTTTAATATTTGGAGGAGAAATATATATATACCACTAATATAAATTTTCAATATTTAGAGGAGAGAGGTACTAATCCTGCGAACAAAAGCTTTAAACTCATTGTACCAAAAAAAAAACCTTAACTCCACCCAACTTTGGAAAGCTCAAACCCTAAAATCAGATGCAGGTTTAGAAATGTCTACATCGGCTTCACTGAGGAAATGGAGGAGAGAGAGAGAGAGAGAGAGAGTACACTCACAACTCAAGACTGATCTGAACTCAGATAGACTGATTGAGTGAAAACTGTGAGATCAAACCTCTTCTTCTTCTTATATATTTTTATTATTATTTTAAAATAATAAATAAATAAAAACTTGCAGAAGCAGGTTATGAAACATCTCCAATCTAGCCCTATATTCAATTCTTTTTATTATAAAAAAAATGAAAAAAAAAAAACCAATTTCCATTTCTGAGATACAAATCTAAGATCAGGTAGAATCTCCAATAAGAAGACCAAAACAGTTGTTGAATTGATATTTATATATGTACACATGCATGTAGAGAGAGAAAAGAAAGAAGGGGGAGAGAAGGGGGGGGGGGGGGGCTTATAAACTGAACAAATCTACAGTAAGTAGTGGAGAGAAAAAGAAATTGAACTAATTGAAATGATGTGCAACATAAAATCACCTTCATTTTCCTATATTTTAGGAGAGCTCATTTCTTACCAAATTTTTTTTTTTTTCCAAATTAGATTCTTCGGCTAACTGAACTTAAAAAGCAATGGATCAGATAATTTCAACACAAAATCAGACAAAGAACAAATGTAAACGTCTAGGAGTTTAAGCAAAGCAAATAAAATCAAATTAAATAGAAAGAAAAAGCAAGGAAATGAAAATGAAAAAGAAAAGAAAAGAAAAGGAAAAAAACTTGTTGTTTTAAGATTTCCACTTGCAGATCTAACAACAACACAAGCACGAAATTCTAAAAACACCGAAACATTCATGAAAATGGAAAAGCTCAAGATCAAAGAAATAAATCACAAAAAAGAAACACGACTACTTTTTTTTCTTTCTTTTTCATTGAGCGACTTAGATCTAAAAGCAGAATCAAAACAGAAAAATAGAACCCTAGAGAGAGAGAGAGGGGGGGAGAGAATGAGAGAGGAGAGAGAAAAAGAGGAATTTGTTCTATTATAGTGGAATACCTGGAGCTATTGCAGAACTCATAGAGCTTTCCCCTATTGGAGAAGATGATCAGAGCGACCTCAGCATCGCAGAGAACGGAAAGCTCGTAAGCTTTCTTCAAAAGGCCATTCCTTCGTTTAGCGAAGGTCACTTGCCTGTTGATCTTGTTCTCTATCCTCTTCAGCTCAACCCTACCTCTCCCCATATTCCCTTTTTAATCTCTCTTTCACTTCAAAAAACTCCTCACAAACCAAAAAAAAAAAAAAGAAGCTTACTAGACAATTTTTTCAGTACCTCACTTTGCTTTCTAGCTTTTCCTACCTTGCATCGCTATATATATACATACACGCCCACATGTATTTTCAGAGTGCACCCTTTTTGAGTCTATACAAGTTACAAGTTACAACTCTTTTCTCTCTCTCTCTCTCTCTCTCTCTCTCTCTCTCTCTTTCTAACACACTCTCTCTTTCTCTCTCCTACTTTAGATTTTCTTATTTTTTACCCAACTGAAATAAGAACTGTATTTCTACAAATCATGATAAAAACACTCATAAAACCATCCAGAATTTACAATAAGAGGCGAAGATTGATTCATGATTAATTTGGTCTGACAACAAGAAATTTAGATGTACATTATTGATTTAAAATTTTAGAAAATTTTATAATTCAGTGAAATTTAAAAAATAAAATAGTTACATTAAAGAAAAATTTAAAATTCTAATTATTAATATTTATAAAATTTATTACTAATATATAATTTTTTTTTAAATACCATTGATTTGAACTTTTTAAAAAAATTTATGGTTCACTTTTTTGGAAGTAAACTTTTTTGAGTGAAAATGATAAGACTAGTAACTATTCAATATATTTTTCTCAGTAGCCAGTGGAACTGTATTTCATGATTCCATCTATAATTTTATAATTAATGTTCGTTAAATAAATAAGTGTATATATATATATATATAATATTCTTTACTTTGCCTAGTGATAAAACTAGTTCTAAACAATTATTTTTACCATAATGTTTGAAAAATGATAGCTTATTTTTTTGATATTTTAGTAGGTTATGATCATATTTCAAAATAATAAAATGTTTCTAAAAATTGTTATTCCGAACTGGGCTAAACAACATTTTACTACTTCGGTTAGGTTTGGTTAACTAAAATTTTCATAATTTAGTTATGTTTCAATTTTTACAGAGTTGATCATAGTAGTTTAGTCTTTGATTTACTCCTAAACCGATCCATCCCCACACCTAACTGTATGCTCAATTAATGGGCAAACATGTCATCAAACTGGACAATTACTTGTAGTTGAGAGATAAGAATAAGTATGCATTGTGGTTCATTATTTTTTAAGAATATCAAGAGATCCTCTGTCTTTAACCTCAAAGGATTAGCCTAGTGGTCAGGACTTAGGCTTAAGAGTGTGCTTCCTCCCATGTGTTTGATTTGACACTACTACAAAAATAGCTAAAGATCATACGTTTTTTGTGTGATATATGTAATTTAATCACACTTTTTAAATTTTGTCAAAGTGTGATGTTTGAGAGTGTGATTAAAAATGGTCACTTTTGTTAAGCCCTTCTGGCTTGAATGAATATAGGTCCATTAGTTTGGTTGGTTCCTTATATAAAATTCTAGCTAAGGTGCTAGCCAACAGAATGAAACAGGTGATGCCCAAGATTATTGGTGAGGTTCAGTCAACTTTTTTTTGGGGGAAGGAATATACTAGATGGCATTTTGATCGCTAATGAAATAGTGGATGCGTGGAAAAGCTATCATAGAAAAGGCTTGTTGCTTAAATTGGATTTCGAAAAGGCCTATGACTCTATCAATTGAGAGTTTTTGTTTGACATGTTATCAAAGTTTGGGTTTGGAAATAGATGGGTTAGTTGGATGAAAACTTGTGTTTCCACAGCTAAGATCTTTGTGTTGGTGAATGGGTCATCAACATCTGAGTTTTATCCACAACGAGGCCTTAGACAAGGTGATCCGTTGTCACCATTCTTATTCAATATTGTAGCAGAGGGACTCAATATGTTGTTGAGTAGAGCTAAAGAGTTGGGCCTAATTCACAGGGCGGAGTGCAATGCAAGACCGATGAATCATCAAAGAGTCCAAATCCGACAAATCGTTTTTGAAAACAGATTTTTTGAAAGAAGTACCAAACATGGACTGCTTCGCCAGATACAGAGTCGCCACCTAAATATTTAATTTTGGGAGAATTTAGGAAACCCTGACTCGTTGCCTAAGGCCACGTGTCCGTCATCACCAAAGTTGCCTCGGCTCGAGAACTTGGGTATGATTGGGGAAGGTCACTTCGTAAGCACCCCCGCTCGCCCGATCAAAGATCGGCCTCTACTAACCATGATATCTAGTTTTGAAAACATTATGCGTTCTTATTCTGGTTATTAACCTAGATTTACTATGTGATGCGCACAGCATACAAGCATAGACTGGATTGCCTGAATTGGAACAAAATATCTCATGTTTGTTTTGAAAACGGTTTGCCACTCGCAAGTAGGCTAAAATGTGGATTTGCCACCCTCAGGTGGGCTTAGAAAACAAAATGATTTGCCACTATCTAGTAGGCTTAAAACTCACAATTGATGAATTGTTCCAATTCAAATAACACAACCTTCACCCACAAGCATTTAGGCAGTTATATCATATAAGCACATAGCCTCATGGTAAGCATGCTATCATGGCAGTCACTCACACACATGCAAGGATACTAAAGCATAAACACTTACCGAGTACTCCAAGCCAAAACAAAAGCTATGTTAGAAATCCATGCATGATCCTAACTATACAGAAATGCCTAATGCAACACATGCAAAATGCAACTAAGATAGGCTCGGCTATTCTAAAGATGGCATGTGAAATGCTACAACTAACATGTATTCAACTTGGAATTGAGATACAAATGCAGTTAGTATGATGCGCCGAGCCCGGTGCATGCAAGACAGATGAATGAATGCAAACATGCTATCATACTGTATGCTAATTGAAACATGCCCTAATCTAACCATCATAAGCAGGTAAATAAAAGGGAGAAAGACGTGGGGTTGCAAGACATCCATCACGCACACGCACACTTATTACAACATTGCCCTCGCGCAGAGGGTCCGAATAAATAATATACAGTCCCAAATGAATAATTACAGTCCAAATTCGGAGGGTCCGAATAAATAATACAGTCCGAAATGAATAACGAATTACAGCTAATTATTACACATCCACTAACTAACTAACAAATTAGCTAAGTAAGCTATAAACTGGCATGCAAATGGACTGCCCCGGCTCTGTTTTGGATGACAATAAATGCATGCATGCTCGATGCGCTTTGTTAGTAAATTCCATCGCGATGCCTTGTCCCGCCATTGTTTGCAGCTAATTTCAGAAACTTACAAAAAGCTCCAGGAGGCTGAAACTCCACCTGGGGAAGGCTGCCGACCAACTCTTGGCTTGGGAAACACCTGCCGACCACCCCTCATGGTGAAAACCAAAAAAGGTGGTCGGCCTACCAGAAAACCTGGTCGGCCAACCACTTTCTGCCCCTGGACTCTGGTTTTTCTGCAACAAAGGCAAGAAAGAGAGAAAGTAATGTATTTTCAACATATGTGTGCGCGACCACTCCTCTCCGTCCTTGCACAAGCTCTAGGGAGTGTGGCCCTCGGTTCTCGGGCCACCAATCACGCATCTCGATGCATGATGGCCGAGAGACCGAATTGCACGTTTTAATATGACATGAATGCAGGTATGAACATATGAAGCCAACAATTCTATCATAGATAATCAAGAACGTTCGAGGACCGGGAATCGAGGCGTGTTTCGTCACTAGGAGTACGAAACGCCCCTCGTTTCCCGTGCTTGGACTAAACCCTATTCCAAGCACCATGTAAATGGAATGGCATGCACAATGCAACTAACATGCAACCTAACATATGCAATGCTCTGTACTAAAATGGCATACACAGTGCGCATGATGTAACATGGCATACACAATGCTCTAAGATGCAACCTAGCATATGCAATGCTATGGATTGAAATGGCATACATAATGCATGATGGACTTACACCAACATGAGTGGACCTCAACCACACTCACATCAGTGGCCATTAGATGGAAAAGAGACAACCGAAATGCGTGCACACGTGCACGTATACCGAGGATCGAACCTAAGGCATAAAATGCCACTCTACCAAAGCATGGCAAGGGATGAAAGATGACATATAAACATGTAAGTTCCAGCACTGAAACATGATGCTAGATGATCCCGAAACATGGAAATAAGGCACCCGATGCATGAAATAAGCCCCGAAATTCAAAGCTAGGCACATGTATCGAATTGTTACTATGCAAAGCAAGCATTATTTGGCCATGAAGTATAAAGACAGAGCTAAGGCAGTCCCAAAACATGCACACTTCTAGTTTAGAGCATGGCCAAAAAGTGCTAACATGATGGACTAAAATAGCATGCAAATTCGGTTAGCAAGCATGGTTTACATGGCATGTATATGAAGCGTCTGAGAACTCATCAAACCAGCCAAAAACAGTGAATAAAATATGTCAAAATATGCCCAAATAACCACTGAAATACAGCCAATGCATGCAAAAATGATGAGTTCCTTTAGAGGGCCATACAAGGGGTTATTAAGCACATACAACAAGAACACTTAGCATGGCAAAAACAACTTTGGAAATGGATTATGACAGCCCTAAACCCATCAAATAGGCCCTGAAATCAGTCTCGGAAACATGCAAAGAAAGGCCTCTTTGAAAGGCCTTGAATGGGGTTGCTCTATACATGCATCATAGACATAAAATATGGAAAAATGGGCTCTTGATAGAGCTTAGTAAGACCTTAAAACCCTCAGAATGAGGCCTGAAACATGACTTCAATGCATGAAAAATAGGGTCCCTTTGGAAGGCCAACAATGCTAGTAAAGAGAATAAGGGGTGAGAGGGTCACCCCTCTATGATTTTGGAGCTCAAAGACACGTCAAGGCCACTAAAAATCTGCTGGATTGCAGTGGCTAAAAGGTCAAATCAAGGCCAATGCAAGTGCTCACATGCATAGCTCAAAACATGAGGAAATAAGACATGAAAGGGGGTAGATGACCCCAAACAGAAAAAGTATCTTAAACAAACATATTTATAAGATCAAAAGGAAACTTTTTCTAGTTTATGACAAATCTCGAAAATGCTCACAAGTAATGCTAAGATATGTTGTAAAATAAGCCTACAAAGAGGGATAAAGCATGCAAGGGTGTAGGAGGCCTCAAACAGAGAAGTGTCCTTAATCAATATTCAAGAG